GATGAGGTATGATGATAGTAATATATATATAAATATATTTGATGTAAAATATATAATTTGATATGGATTTTAGGTACTGACTGTGGAAGGGATGCACGAAAGCTCTATGTAACTAATTGACACACTTTTTATAATTTGTAATGGAATAAGTTTGTATGGTGTTTGTTGTGACTTGTTTGTTTGTGTTTATTCAAACATTAAAAAATTTTTAAAAAAGAAATATGCTGTAGATTAAATGTGACAGAGAAGGCACTGAAAAAGTTATTTAAATGCCATGATGTGCCTATACCTAAAAAGTTTAGAATAGTGTGAAGCATGATATTCCCTGTGACACTCACTGGAAGCAAAAGCTGAACTTTGATGGAGCAGAAGAGAAAAAGCATTGATACGCTTTTGAACGTTGATGTTGGAGAAGACTCCTGAGAATACCATTCTTGGCTGTACTATGGACAATAGATGGGTCTTCAAAGAAACCAAACCAGAATTCTCACTCAAGGCACAAATGGCTAAGACTGAATTATCCTAATTTGGACACATTAGGCAAACACCCGGCTATTTAAAGAAGATTCAAACCAGGGGTGGGCTGCTCCCAGCATTACTGCCAGTTCAGTGCACGTAAAAATTACTGCCGGTTCAGGGGCATGGCAGACCTAGCTCGCTGCCGGTTCCAGTGACCCAGGCTGCTAAACCACTACCGGTTTGGTCAAACCGGTCTGAAGCGATAGGAACCCACCTCTGGCTCAAACACTGGAAAAGGAGGAAGGAAAGAGAAGAAGAGGACAACCAGCAGCAAGAAGGATAGGCTCAATTACAGTAATGATGGGTGCATAGTTGGAAGACTTGAAGGACCATGTTACGGAAAGATCATCATGGAGAAAATGTATCTATATGATTGATAAGAAGCAACACCAAGTTGATGGGTCATAATTAATCAATCAGTGTCCAAATCAGCTTTCAGAAATCAACTCTCACAAGAGGAAATGTTTCATGAAAAGGGAAAATAACGGTTCGTTATTGTAACTGATATTATTTGAGTTGGCATACTTTCAGAATTAAGAGATAGAACTCCAGCTAGGAAAGAAAGACAAAATCTGAGTTGCTCATTTGATTGATTAAGAACAGATCCCACCACCCTTCCCATCTTTAACTGGATTAGAGTGTTTGGTTGGTTTTTAATTTATTTATGTTTCAGTATATTTATACTTATTTTTCATGATTGTAAGCCACCCAGATGGGCAACCAATACATTTTATAAATAAATAAATAACACTCTAATTATAATTTTATTCTCAGTTTTTCACTGTGGTTTCACATATATGGGTAGATAGCAAGCTAAATTATTTTCAGGCGGTTTTGGATAGTCAGAAACAAGGAAAAGCGGCATCCCTGTGAATCAAATGTTCAGCCTCTCATGCTTCACAGACATTAATAGTTATGCATTGTCTGGCAATTGGATGCTTGTGATAGTCTGACATAATTTAGGTGAACTGATCTCTAATGATATCTGGCACAATCCACGAGAGCAGTGACTCACTCTTCAAAATGAAGCATAATGGAAATGGGCTCTTTGCGAAAGGCTGACGTCTCATCCAAGCTAATGTGAATGTTCTATATAGATCTCTCTCCAATTGTTTAGAGAGATTTGGAAAGAAAATAAAGAGGATAATGTCCTGGTTGAAAGGAAATTCTAATACTGTGTGCAGCATTATATGGTTGAAGTGAATTCTAGATAAAAAACCACAAAGTATAAAGACTACTAGTGTGTTGCACAAAAATGAGACTGCAGTTGACAAATGGTTGAAACAGCTTCCAGATGAGCTTAAAGTATATGAGAAGTTCTAAGCAGGAAGGAGTGCTACATGAGCTTAATAATCCTACCTTATGTATGTATGCCAACAGCTTCATGTCAAGCTGGAAGAAAGTATAGAGTGGCATAAAGTGGCAAAGAAGAGGGAGTCTATTCTCCAAAGCACCCGAGGGTAGGACAAGGAGCAATGGGTGGAAACTAATCAAGAAGAGAAGCAACTTAGAACTAAGGAGAAATTTCCTGACAGTTAGAACAATTAATCAGTGGAACAGCTTGCCTCCAGAACTTGTGAATGTTCCAAAACTGGATATTTTTAAGAAGATGTTGGATATCCATTTGTCTGAAGTAGTGTAGGGTTTCCTACTTAAGCAGGGGGTTGGACTAGAAGACCTTCAAGGTCCCTTCCAACTCTGTTATTCTATTCTATTCTACTTCAGGACTCCATGCTAGGTTGTCTACAGATAGTCCTTGACTTACAACAATTCATTTAGTAACTTACAACGGCACTGAAAAAAGTGATCTATGAATGTTTTTCACAGTTACAACCTTTGCAGCATCCCGCATGATCAAAATTCAGATGCTTGGCAACTGGTTCATACTTATGACCGTTGCTGCATCCCAAGATCATGGGATCACTTTTTCGTGACTTTCTGACAAGCAAAGTCAATGGGGAAGCCAGGTTCATTTAACCACCGGGCTACTAATTTATCAACTACAGTGATTCACTTAACAACTGTGACAAGAAAGGTCATAGAATGGGCCAAAGCTCACTTAACAAATGTCTCACTGAACAACAATTGTGTCCCCAAGATAATTAGGCTCAATTGTGGTCGTACGTTGAGGACTACCTGCACTGTTGAACATATTTATTAGTGACTCCTCACCCATGGTTATCATTAGTTAAAAGAGGAAGAGCATGTTTATGAAAAATAATAATTATACTGAGCATATAGTTGCACTTACTGGAAATGTTTGATAACAAGAGATGTATCTGTGATCTCTTTGGGAATCTTGGTGACCATCAATGTGCGAGCCAGCTAAAAGACAAGAAAGGAAGAGGTCAGAAATGGAGACCCTTTCATAGTTATAACATTTGTTAGTTTCCAGTATTTTGCCACTTAAACTCTAGTATTATTTGTATTCATTATTTTCGTCTGGTGTAGGACTAGAGGCTCAAATTACAAGAGGATATATTTTGCTTAAACATTGCAAGGAAATATTTAGTGGTAAGAACAGTTTAATAATAGAAATGGCTAATTAAAATATTGCTGTGTCACTCTCATCCTGCATCATGCAGGGCTTTGTATATCTACTCCTATTTTATGATCCCGAGGGGGCAAATTGCTTATGCAGTGGAAGCTTACTCCTCTCAGAACAAGATTTATATTGTTACTGAATTGCTGCATTTAAACAATCTCAAACTAATATTTGGACACATTTCTTCCTTGGCCTGATACAACAAATGATGAATGTCTAGGTCAGTATTTTTAAGTCTTGACAAGTTTAAGATATGTGACTTCAACTCTCAGAATTCCCCAGCTAGTATGCAGTTCACACATCTTAAACTTGCCAATTAGTGTTGAGAAACACTAATCTAGAGTGTCCCGTCTCTGAAAGGTCAGAATGGAAGGTGTCAACGAGGCCGCTGCAATTATTACCTTTTCATTTTCTTTATACTCTAATTGGATGGAATGATGAGTCATGCAGAGAACAGTGACGATGAAATAGAGGAGAGCAAAGATACTATGCAGCCACAAGAGACGGTCACTGCAATAGAGCAAAAAGGAGAGACATTTTTCAGATGGGAAAAAAATAGGTATCTTTATCAGAAAACAACATAACTACTATTTCCTAGAAGATGCCAGACTTTGATTCAAAGACATTTTATGCTGACTCTGTAAACCTCTTAGAGAGGGCTGTAAAGCACTGTGAAGCAGTATATAAGTCTAACTGCTATTGCTATTGGTCTATCTGTAATACAGAAAGTTGGCTTCACCATTGCATATTGTCACAGAATCATGATTAATGCATGGAAGAACCCTTAGTCAAACAAAGTCCTTAAAGGAAAGCAAATCATTTTAATGCTTCCATGGTGGAACATCAAAATAAAAATTTAATCTGGCATTAATTCAAAATGACAAAGCTATATTATAGAAATCAGTGGTGCAGAATTTGTCAAAGACAGTAGTTCTTTTTGAGGGGAAACACAGTTGGATATATATTTATATTGATTATTTTTTAATATAAATTTATATTGATTACTATATTCCTACAAACATTGCAAGCCACTTATTCACATATATACTGCACTCAGAATGTTAAACAAAATAAATAAGGATTTCTTGAACATGTATTTATTTATATATTTGCAGAAAATGCTCCACAATGCCATCATTATAAACAGTGAGTAATTCAACTCTGAAGAAATTGAATCACTTACTCTTTGGGAACATTTGCAATTGTGGTTCGGCCAAAATTAGCTGGGTTTTTTCCTGAAAGAGAGAAAGGAAACAGAAGTTAGTACATTTTAAACAAAAGGCATTTCATTCTTCTAAGCCCAGCATTGGACTCATAATGCCTCCAAAGTTGTACAGTGGTATTTTAAAGCTTTTAGAATACCAGTGCTCTCAACAATTAATTGTCCAGTGAATTTGAAGGACTACATACCAAGGAGATCACCAGAGAAGTTGACGGGAAGGATGACAGCCACAGAGAGCACACAGACAATCAAGAGCAACACCAGCAGATGCCGCTGGAAAGAGAGGTAGGTTGTGGCATCAATTCCACACTTGCTTTGAATTTCTTCATCTCTGAGAAAGAAAGAAAGAGAAAGAAAGAAAGAAAGAAAGAAAGACATGTCAACTCGATAGGATCCCTTCCATAGTTTTCTTTTCATTCAGAAATGTGGGGTGGGGAAGAACAACATTGACTATGTAGTTTTCTTACCAGTATAAAATAGATGACATACTCAATAGAGGGATTTTATTTCTGTGCTTTATGCTTTATAAAATTAGGCCTATGTGACAAAAAAAGTAGTAGCAGGGCTCTTTATTCCGTAAGTGTGCACACCCTAAGAGGAATTCTATTCCTTACTATATTGAGTATCCTCAAATCAAAGAAGGCAGTAAAACAAACAAAATCCAGATATCCCGACTAAAACTTTGAAACCAGTTTTTTAATTGGAATTTTTTAGCATAAAAGGATGAAAAGGGCTTGAGAGGAGTTCCCCTTAAATAAAACAATAATAAAGTGAAATAGCAATATATCATAGTAATTCAATGTAAAATTGCTTTTCTGAGCCACCACATGATACCTCAAATACCACCTTACCTAACCTGGTGCTCTCTAGATGTGATGGATTGCAACCCTCCTTATCTCCAGCCAGCAGGAAACCTGCAGTTCAACACATCTAGAGGGCACAAGGTTGGGGAAGGATGGGTCAGGGTGATAAGAAAACAGCATTAATGAATTTGCTTTCAAAAAATTATTCTGTTTACTTCCCCACGCACTCCTTTTTTCCTAGGTTTTCATACATAAATTATTTTCTTCTTCTTATACATCCATCTCAGTGGTGGGATTTAAATAATTTAACAACTGGTTCTCTGCCCTAATGACCAGCTGGGTAGGCATGGCTCAGTGGTCATGTGACTGGGTGGGCGTGGCCATCTGAACATCATTCACGTTGATGGGTGCTTCGCTTTAGCTGTTATAATGTAATAAGGGTTAACCAGAGAGGCAGTTTCTGTAAGCAGGACAATAAAAATTACGCTAGAATTTTTACGCTAGAACACCAGAATGTTTCCTTCCTGCCTTCTTTACAGGATTAGCCATGTAACGTGGAAAAAAACAAAATGAGATTTCTTCCATTAACTGGTTCTCCAAACTATTTAGAAAGTTCCGGTTCTCCCAAATACATGCGAACTAGCTAAATCCCACCACTGGTTCATCTGCATTCTTTTTAAAAAAAAAATACAGATGAGGAACATATTTCTGTAAAAAAAACATGTACAGGTTTTTCTCAAATCTGGCATTTCCAAATATGTGTTAGAACATGAATTTCACATGCCTTCAGATTAAAAAACAACAACCGAACATTATGTTTTAAAAATTCACTTCCATGAGAACTCCAAAAGATCATGATGTTCCAATTTGCATATTAAACACTGAGGTATTGATTAGGAAGAAGCGGGAATTAATTCTCAACACTATTTATTATTATTATTAATAATAATAACAACAACAAATACTTAGGCATTCTGCAGTTGGATAACATCAAGCATGTAGAAGTAAAAACTATTGTCAGGTGAGAGTACACCAACAGAGTTAGGAAAATTTTGAAATCTAAATTGAATGGTGGAAATACAATCAAGGCCATCAATACCTGGGCAATACCAGTTATAAGATACACAGCTGGTATAGTTAACTGGACACAAGCTGATTTGGACATTTTGGACCGAAAAACCAGGAAACTAATGACAATGCACTACAGTTTACATCCACGTGGTGATACTGATACACTATATCTGCCCCGAAAATCAGGTGGCAGAGGATTATTACAAGTGAAGCAAACAGTTGAAAAAGAAAAACATGCACTGGCTGATTATTTAAAAGAAAGTCAAGAACATCTATTAATCGAAGTAAAGAACAAAAATCTACTGAAGGCCCAACAGACAAAACAAGAATACAGAAAAGATGTGATAAAATCAAGACTGGAGAGTTGGCAGAATAAAACACTGCATGGCCAATTTCTGGAAAAAATAAAAGATAAAGTGGACAGTGAACAAACTTGGTTATGGTTAATAACAGGTACATTAAAGAAAAAATCCTGGCTGCTCAAGAACAAGCTATCCGCACAAATGTCATTAAGGCCAAAATCGAAAAATCCTCTGATGATGCCAAATGCAGACTTTGCAAAGAAGCTGATGAAACTGTTGATCACATACTCAGCTGCTGTAAAAAAATCGGGCAGACTGATTATAAATTGCGGCACAATTCAGTAGCACAAATGATCCATTGGAATTTGTGCAAAAATTATAATATTAAAACAGCAACAAACTGGTGGGAACATCAGGCAGAAAAAGTTACCGAAAATCAGGTAGTCAAGATCTTGTGGGATTTCCGTATACAAACGGACAAAATACTGGCGCATAATACACCAGACATCACACTGGTTGAGAAAAATAATGTCACAATCATAGACATCGCAAAACCAGGTGATAGCAGGGTCGCCGAGAAGGAACATGAAAAAATCATAAAATACTAGGACTTAAAAATAGAAATTCAACGACTATGGCACAAACCAGCAGTGGTAATTCCAGTGGTAATTGGCACATTGGGTGCTATTCCAAAAGCACTGGAATTACATTTAAAACAGTTAAAAATTGACAAAATCACCATCAGTCAAATGCAAAAAGCCGCACTGCTTGGATCTGCACGCATATTACGAAAATACGTTACGACGTCCTAGGCCCCTGGGTGGGGCCCGACTAGTAACCAATGCCAAATCCGACGAAACAACTGGCTGCTGTGATACAATTGTACAATAATAATTCTATCAGCGAAATGTGTCTGTGTGTATAAAAATTTAGAGACCACCCATCTCACTCTCAGATTCTGGTAGTTTGAAATTAAAAACATAAAACCCATATAAACATACTAGATCTCAGTAAAAGGTAGCTTTTTGTAACAAATGAACCTTTCCTTTTCCTTTGAAAATAATATCTTTATGACACAGCAGTAGCTAAATGAATGGAAAGATTTCTTTTGTTTGAAGAGACAACTGAGTGGGAGGAGAAATTAATTCCTTATTGAATTTCCAATTTCTCTCACTTTTTTTTTAATCAACCAGCATGGAAAGGAAACACATTTTTCATAATAGCTCAGTTGGCTAACTGGGGAATTAGGCTTCAGATTGTAGAGGATAAAAATTTCATCATAAAAAGCCACATGCATCTTTGATTTTGCATGTGCAAAATGAAAAGGGGTTTTTCTGCTACCTAATGATAACCAAGTAATAATAATAATACCATTCATTTATTTGTTATTCCATTGATGACAGTAGTTTTTTTAATTAATTCTTTGATTAAAACACTGCAATTCAGGGTCTGATTTCATTTCAAAGCATTCAAGAGAAGAGACAGCTCAGGCTACTGGTATCAACCACTCATTTCCAACTAAAACAAATCAGCAATACTTTAGTCATGTTCTGACCACTTAAATCAAGAGCAATGATTATATAAGCTTTAAAGTTGGATTATCTTTCAACAACTGCTATTGCTACACCATGTCAATTTCACTATCTGGGCTCTCTTTGAAGAGCAATAGGTCCAGCCCCATCAAAGTCATGTTAATCCCTCATCATAATGACCCCTATAATTATATGCAGGACATATCTATTCAAAGTAAGCCTCTGTGAATTCATTGTTGCTGATTCTGAGCAAGAATAGGGGGAAAAAATCAGTTTACATAGAGAAATATAAAGAGAGGGCAAACAGTCCATGGCTGAAATCATCACAGTAATCACTCTATCACATAAAAGATGGAGCAGATTATGAACTTTCGTCAATATCGCCATAGTGATATGTACTCACTTCATCTGATAAATTGAAAGAAGCCAGGAGCAGAATCCCTAGGAAGGAAATTGGAGAATTTCAATGAACTAGCTAAAATCAATTATAGAAGAAATTACTATTTCTGTCCGTTTGTTCCCCTTAGATATGGTGTAAGAGTAAAGTAACTGAGCATATTATTAAACTTGTCTTAAACAAAGGTAAAATCTTTATGGATCCATAAACATTGTAGGACTCCAGCCCCCTTTAATGCCAAGTAACATTGGTCACAGGAACACAGGAGTTGAAATTTAACATCATCTGGAAGGACATGGATTTTTCAACTCTTGGCTTGGAATAAGAAAGATACAGTAAGGGACTTGGCCATGAGATCGGCATTCAGACTTAAAAAGATGTACAATTTAAAAACTGATTACAGTGTTGGAAATAAACCATTATGAAGACAGGTTGTCCAAATGTCTTTTAACTTTTCCAGACATTTTTGAGGAAAAAATATTGTACAAAATTATCAAAGTTTCAGGCAGATGGACCATTTACCTCACTGAACTTGGCATTTCGTTTGATCTAACTTTATCAAATTAGTATCAGAAAACAGCAGCTTGACAAGAGCAGCAATGACAATCACTTTTGCCTTATTGGGAAATTTATATAAAAACTGATGGATACCATTCACTCTCAAGTCATCAGCAACCCTGATTTTGCTTTCCTCTATCAAGTTGATGGAAGTGGGCAAATAGGGATAGGAATTCTCTTTGTCATACAGTTTTTTTTTCTAATCCCCCCTCCTCTGCAGTGCCTTTCAAACTTACCACATCTTTGTTGTCAGCATCCAAAGGGCTGCTCTCAGAAGGGGACTTCTCTTTTTCACTTTGTTCTCCATAGAAGAGGGATGTCAGGCTTCCCATATATAGGAAGTAAATAGCAGGGAGAAGAAAAAGGGGGAACGTGGAGAAAGATAAGAGGAAGACAGTGTAAATTAGATATAGAGGTGGAAAAGAAAAAAAGGGAGAGAGGAATATTATTCCAACCAGGCCACTTTTAAATATATACAGTTCCACAACCTCAGGACACCAACAAGCCTAAAAGAAGAAGAGTGACAATATTCCAAGAAGATATTGATGCTCAAGAAAGTTTAAGAAAACACATTTCTGCCCTTCTCCAATAAATGTTACAGCTTTAGTGGTCTTGAAAGAAGTGTGTAGGTGCCATTGTAGAGAGTATGGAATTGGAAGCCAGAAGAATATATGCAGCCAAAAGCATTTTAATGAACTGAAGATTTGGGGATTGTACATAAGCACATATATCCTTGTTCTTGCCTGAACCACTTGAATCAGCCACATCTTGTTTGCTTCAAGTAAGAATTTACTAATCTTAGATGGGGAGGGATGGAAAACTTCATAGAGAAACAAAATCTTAGGTGCATGATTGATTGCTAGAAAATGCAGTCCTGTGAATTCTTTAAACTATCTTGGATAACATTCTGTGGCACCTTATTGGAGCTGAGAAATCAGAAGCCTTTGGTTACCTTTATTGGATTCTGATATACAGTATGCTCTGGTTTTCCTATCTTTATCGCTTTGCAACTTTATTATTTCATTCTGCATGAGAATAGGCAGCTTGCTTCACGTTTTTCGCACCATTTGAGATCATGGTGTCAATAATTATATTGTCCAATTATATTAAAGGCACTAATAATTTAAGATGAAATACAAGATTAATGAAAAAGATTTTTTCCACAGTTTGCTTATGCAGCTCTTATCACTGGAATAAAATAAAAGAAGAATAAGAGTTTGCCCAACAAGTATATTTACTATGTAGAGTGGCTACAGCAAATTATCTAAGGAAGAGAGTACATATATACATTTGGAAGATAATGTTCAATTAGAGGTCACATTGTCTGAGGCAAACTAGTAAGAAGAATGAAATACAGAATGGAATTATCCATAGTTCAACTGTTCTGAGAGCTCCAATAGATGGTATGGCCTGTTGGCCTTGAGCATGCTAGCAACAATTCCTACTTCTTAGAAAGGCTTAAATTCCCATTTCTTTATTGCTTTCGCTAATTTTTCTGCTTTTAGGAAGCAGCAGCAGTCTTATACTACTTTCTAACGGCCAGGATGATGAACTTATGATGTTGCTGAATTGTGATTCCCAATATTCCTTTGAAAGTATTTTATCTAGCACAATACCATCTAAAATGAACTTTTGCTTTTTTTAAAAAAAAACCTGAAGATGCTGGGAATTACATTTGGGAACTTCTGTGGGTGAAGCATAGTCTCCCCCTTTAGGGTTGACCATATTCATATCTACCAGAGTATAGCAAACCCCAGCATGGAAACCATAATTTGACAGGTTTGAAGCTCATGGACTGTATGATGGGAATCCCCCGCCTTCCCTATTGCTCTCTGCTGTAGTAGTCATTTGGTCCATTAGTTAGGGGAAAAAAATAAGTGCATCAATCATGTTACAGCATTGCTATTGTGCAGTGATACTCCCTGAATAGAAGCATGGCTGAGGTAATGCAAGATCCCTATGGAAGAACTCATAACCTAAACATCCCTTTGCTCATAGGTAGTATTTCATGGATAGATTAAGACCAAAATTTAAAGCCCTCATTCTGGACTCCATTTCGATATCTACAATCTTTGGCACTTACTTGAAAATTATATCTGGAAAAGGTGTACCATAAACAGGAGAAGAAACAATGCCCAGAGCTAAATCAAATCACCAGTGGAAAAGTAACAGACTATTTATACAAACCAAGGATTAATAAATCTTACAAAATAGCATTAAGAATGGCCAGATCAGAATTTCAGTAAGAGTAATTACAATTATATAGCATTCATGAAAAGGACACCCACTACATATTGGGAAAATGTGATGCTCTAGAATAGATTTAAAGCATGGATATTTGAATATACTACTTTAAGGTAATGGTGAAGAAACAGTATTTTAAGTATTAGATGCTGACTCTAACCTTCCCATTCACCCAACATTAAACACTCAAATGAAACCCATCATGATCAGACAGACAATATATTATAGATTAGCAACCAAGAGAATATTTTAAAGTTTACCCAAGTTACAGGACAACATTCAAACATCATATGAAAGGAAGAAAAGCCACTGCAAAATGGGAAGGAAGTGAATTAAAATGGAGCAGAACGTCTATCGAGATTCTGAGTCATCCAGGTCATGGTTGTCCCAAAGGGCAAATGGACTTTCTTTTTTCCCCCTTGAAGACATTTCACTACTCATCCAAGAAGCTTCTTGAATGAGAAGCGAATCATCTTCAAGGGAAAAAACACACACAAAATCCTATTGCCTTTGGAAAATCATCTTTGGGACAATCAGGAGCAGATTCACCCTACTTGACATCTCTAACAAAATTAATTCAATCTGCCTCCACCACTCAACCCACCTTCTTTTCTGCCTTCTCTGGATGAGAGAAAGTATCACTGATATAATTTTATTTTGTTTTGCCCCTGGCTCTTTTTAGTTTCAAGGCCAAGAACTCCTTGAAATACAGATGGAGAAATCTTTTCCATCTTGACAAACAGTTGATTTAGGGAAAGCTAATTGATCCTGCGTGGAATTGAGACTCTCGAATGCTCCTTTAAAAGCAGTGGCGATTCTTTTTCTTTCACAAGAATTCCCAATTCCCCAAGCCTTCGATTCCCTTATCACCACTGTATCATTTACTCATAGGAGTCCCATGTTCTTGGAGGCAAACGGCTGATTAAAAGAAGAAGAACAGTAGTTAGTGGGAGGGAAACCTTCGGAAAGTAATAACAAGCAATATTACTGAGATATCATGGGATGAAGACAAAACATCTCAAAAAGGATCAGAATTTCAGAACTGCACTGGGTTTTTTTTCCCCCTCCAAGAAAGCTGTTTTGATTATTCCTACATTACAGGGAATAGAAGGAAGTCTATTAAGGCTAACATATAGCTACCACTTAGAGAAATCATTCCTGAGGCAAGTTATCAACCAGAGATTTCTTGGCTCATAGTTCACTGATTTATTTCACCAATTAACTATCATGTGATCTTCTGCCCAAAAGTATCTTACATCTTGCTCTTCTAATTTCTTATTCACTAAAATATGCCTTTTAAGTCCACAATCTTCCTCCAGACATCTTAATTTTCAAAACCTTGGCCGGTGGTAAACCCACTGGAACTTTCAGTACGACATATCAATGGATAAGGTAAGAAGTTAGTTTTTTCTCCCATATTCCATCATAATTTCAGCCAGTTCTTTAATATGGTCACAGTCAGATTTTGTTGCTGCTCCTGTCTTTACAGTTGTGCAGTTTTACTATATTGATCGAATACAGAAACATTTTGGGTGGCAAGATCTATAAAACAGTGGAACAATCTATTTTTGAAAGTTCTGGGTACTCCATCGCTGGAGGCTACAAAGAGAAGGCAGCTAGTTCAACTGGTTTCTACACACATTAGAAAGAGATGGACTAGATTATTTAGACTCCACAATTCTGTGAGTTCATCTTATATTACAAATGTTATGAAGGTGCTTTGGATTGTTCCTCTTTTAAAAGGGAAATTTAAGGGAATTTCATTATTTTTTCTTCTACTGGAATTAAACATTTTTCACCGTCTACTAGTCATGTAGCATTAATGACATTTTTCCTATTACTCTGCCAGGTTTTGAAGCTTTAATAATACTGCCCTGCATTATATTCTCAACAGAGCACCCATCAGTACTGATAATTTTGGACTATGTACAACAGCCATCTCCAATTTGATGCCCTCCCAAATGCTTGGATTGCTAGTGGCAGGTAATACTTAAGAATTGCAGTCGAAACACATTTGTGGGGATTAAACTGGAAACATCTGGTAAACTATTTTCTGTACCCTTCGCTTTTGCATCCTTTAAGAAAGGTTAGATTTTACCTGTCGTTATCCATCAGCAAGGCGAGGCGCCCATAATCCCAAGCTGCTTTCCGAAGGCAGGAAAAGATGAAGAGAAGTACCTGCAGTTGGAGAGAAGCATTATCGGCTTAATGATCTTCTTCGCTAAGTAAATACTCCATTCCTTTCCCGTCTGTGACAGAAATTGCAGTAAATGTTGAACAACAATAACTGCAGAATGGAATTTCTTCTTCCATAGATTTTCAGAGCTCACTTAAATACTAAAAATTGGTTTTTGAATCATTTTCTGGGTTTGCACAACTCACTGAATTGTAAGCAGGCTGCATTCATATGCATGCATCCACAGCACCACCAAAGAAACTAAGATTAACATTAATGAAGCTTAACATGTGGTACAAATGCATCCATTCTGTTTATAACAGATCTAGTTAGATATGTTGCATGTACCCCGCCAATATAAATTAAAGATGGGAAAATAAACAGGCAGCAATTTTTATATGCTAATTCTGTCTTGCATAGCATGAATATATGTAGAACTGACACTAAGATACAAATGCGCCTCTCAGTTGAATTCTAACCTTGAGTTAAACTGGAGAAAAAGTGTAAAACAGTACAAAGTAAAGACCAAGAAATTATGAATTCTCCTGCTTGTTGGTTGAGATGGTCTCTAGAGCAAGAGTCCCCAACCCCTGGGCTGCGGCCCACTACCGGCCCATAGCCTGTTTCAAACAGGACCACGGGAGTGATGGGAAAGTGCTTGCGCAAGTGGATCTGTGTGTGCAAGAAAAAGTGCCCTCTGCTTGTGTGTTCTCCGGTCACATGCGAGTGCAAGGGCCCACTGCTTGCACAAGTGGAACTTCATGCACGAGGGCAAGCACCCTCCGCTCAAGTGTGAAGCTCCATTCACGCAAGTGGAGGACATGCACAACCACTGCTTACACTAATGGAGCTGTGCGCACATGTACGCATACCACTCTCATGCCCCCCTCCCCTTCCCTGGGCTGGGCCTCAAGATGGAAAGATTGGGGACTGCTGCTGTACATCAGGGCTATCAAACTCGCAGCCCACAGTCCGGGAGTGTCACTCCCATGCCCAGTTTAGTGAAGGGGAAAAAAGTCATGATATATGATGCGAGTTTGACATCCCTGCTCTAGATGAAATATATATACTGGATGTCTGGTTGCAGACCTACCAGGCCTGTGTGGAACACTGGCTAGGGTGAAAGTCAGAAACAACATTGCAGAGGGAAGTTTGTTGTCACCTAACTGACTGAATGGGGTTATTCCTATTCACTACCAATATGAAGTCACACCACTCCGACTAAAGGTCATATGATGTGCTTGCCTTAGTTTTAATACTTAGGGGGAAATATCTCTCTTTGTATCGGTGGAGTTTTTTTTTTCCTTAAGAGAGCAAGAAACATTTAAGGAAGAAACCAGTGGGAATTATGTCAGGGAATGAAGGAGAAAACTGCTATATCTCATGCACTGTGTTTGATGCAAAGATATACAACTGTCCAAATGTTACTGCTTGTCTGTCATTCCTACCTGTGATGGGTGATGATTTATGAACAGATAATAAAGAGAGATCATTTTTCTCCTTCTCACTCACCATCCAAAGGAGGAAGTTGAGAGCAAGTACTGTGGGCACACCACCAAACGGCAGCCCTTGCAAGACAGTGCTGTGGGAACGGGCGTTGAAGCATTGCTCCTCTGTAGTGTTGGTCAGAGTATCCAGATAGGTGAGAACATTCAGAGAGACGGAATTCGTATCTTCTGATGAAGACGTGGTCATGATCATGTTGTCCATCTGTAAATCAGGGGTCTCTTAGGGAGTTCTGCTGTGTAAAATGCCTAAGAGGGGAAAAGAGAGAAACTAGGTTTCTGAGACTGAAAAGGACCTCTCAAAGGAGACTTTCATATCTGATGGATATGTTTGTCCCTTTATAAGCTTCCTCTTTGCTGTTTTATAGAGAGATATAGAGATTGAGGGCAGAAAACAGTCAGATCCTTGCTAAACCAGCCTTCAGAGTTGTCAGGAAGTATTTTAACATTATCTTTTGATGCTAAAACCAAGATATATACATGTGATGGCCCTCTCTGCGGGCACATGAGCCATTGCCCCAGCTCAACTTCACCATACATGTGGAACGTGCCTCGCGCCAGCCAGCTGATTTTTGGGTCTCTGTTGCGCATATGTGGGGGCGGGGCGCATGCAAGAGACACACACGCATGTGTGGGAGTCACATGCGCATGCACGGGGGGCCACATAAGTGCAGGGGAGCGTGGGGAGTGTAGCAACCCCCCCCCGCGACCCATTTTTGATCCCAGGAGGCTGCAGGAAAGCCTACTAGGCCCAAAATGGGGACAGCGGGGTGCAGTGTACCACCCTGCAGTCCGTTTTTGCTCCCAGGAGGCTGCAGGAAAGCCTACTAGGCCCAAAATGGGGACAGCGGGGTGCAGTGTACCACCCTGCAGTCCGTTTTTGCTCCCAGGAGGCTGCAGGGAAGCATACTGGGCCCATACGGGGCAGGTCGGGGGAGCGTGGGTGATCAGGCACGTTTGCACAGGGGCAGGTAGCATGTTACCCATGCATTGCATTATGCGGGCCGGTGGAGGCGGGCGCTTTCGGCATGCGACGACAAAAAGGTTAGCCATCACTGATATATACTATTCTAAGAAGACGCCAGAAGTCCAGATGAAAGTAAACATACCCAAGAACAGTTCATGGTCTCTTATCCTAACTGTGAGAGTGGAAGGCAAATTAAAAAGAATGCTGTTTTCAGCAAATGTATCAGCCTCCGATATTCCCTTATATAGTATCCAGAAACTGGCTCATCCCAGGTTCGACTGTAAGTCACTGTGATTTTGATTCCCAAGGTGTCTGCTTTTCCCAGGGGAGCCTGACCTTGCAGTCCAGCACTCTTTTCTCATTCACCTTTTCTCCATGTAATAGCAGCAGTGCTTAGAGCTCAAAAACTGTGGATCATAGAGGTGAGCTAGCAGGACTCCCTACTTAGGACTTCAGATCAATGTCTAAAGGTATAGCAGATATACCTGCAATGAGGGCTTCTCATCTTTATCCCGACATCTCATTCTCCTCCAAGGAAGAACCCAGGTCAATGATCACAGCCACTTATTAAGTAGACCTACCCCATCAATATCTGAAGAATTGAAGGTGGAGATTAGGAGAGATCCTCTTTACTAGCAGTACTTCAGGGTTTGGAATTAGCATCCCCAGAAACCTCTGTGATCGCTTTAATGGCATTTCATCCTACAAAATCAAGAAAAAGGAAAGATATAAGGGAAAAGCACTTTTACCCAGGGGTGGACTTCAAAAATTTCAGCAACGGGCTCTCTGCCTGATTACTAGGTGGGCGCGAACCGTAGCAGTCCATCCCTGCTTTGAGCTACAGTGCTGTTTAGGTTGCCTCTCTGTTTGAATTTTAAAAATGATTAATATCATTATTTTTTTTGTGCTTCTAATTAAGATTGCAGTTTTGCAACGTTCTGTTAGCTGGCTGGATTTTTAAACTCCCCGCTCCATCTTTTGTCTATTTTTGATAAGTTGCCTTTTCAGTTCACTTTTTAGGAAAGGTTGGATCTTTAAAATTAAAAATAAAAACACTGCATTCATATTGCTGAGCTTAACAGAAAAAAAAATGTTAAGTTAGGGAAACTGAAAAACAAGTGAAACAAGTGATAACTTTGTGTTTATTAATTACATAAACCAATTTATCTAGAGAGGCAGTGGCTGACTTTCATTAGACAGCCATCTATTGGGGATACTTTAATTTGGACTGTTGCACTGAACATTGATGGTCTAAATGGCCCGTTGCAGCTCTATTATTTTAACTGCTTCTATTATGTAGATTGATGTTAAAAGGATTTGTACTATTGAGAAATGATCAAAGAAACATGAAGAAAAACATTACATTGCGATATATTAATGGGTCAGTCAACTAGTGGCATGTTAGTAAAGTGGGTGAATTAAGAATGGGCACTAAGCCTTGTGGAAATGGAGCACCAGTGGATTTACCATACTGGACAGGAATTTGAGAATTGTAATCCAAAACCTATTGGAAGGTGCTTAGTTAAATCTAAAGGTAAAGGTTCCCCTTGGACATATGTGCTAGTTGTTGCCGACTCTACGGGGCGATACTCATCTCTGTTTCAAAGCCGAAGAGCGGAACGCTGTTACCTTCCCACCAAAGCTGGTTCCTATTTTTCTACTTGCATTTTTACATGCTTTCGAACTGCTAGGTTGGCAGAAGCTGGGATAAGTAACGGGAGCTCACTCTGTTACGTTGCACTAGGGATTCAAAACGTCGAACTGCTGACCTTTCTGATTGACAAGCTCAGCGTCTGCGCCACCACGTCCCCTTAGGTAATTCTAGTCCATAGAATTGCAAATGTTAGTTTGGGAAAGCACGGGATCAAAATGTGGGACTCCAGAGAAATCTTTAAAAAGAAATATGTATTATGTACACTACTTTCCTGTGAAATGAAAAATTATGAGGGCAGCGGCACTGGGCTATCTTTGCAAAGGGAATATATTGGAAACATAATGCTTTTATGCAAACATCTTTTATTTGCCAACATGCCAATAATAGCCTATAAGTGGAAGCAAGCAACAATACTCTGACTTGTCTCTTAAGGTATCTGGTATTTCAAAATGATTTTAGCTTCCAGCTAATGGTATGCCATCCTCTCCATTCCTGTTTTTAATCTAGTACGCCCCAACTCCCTCAAATAGGATGCTCTAAAAGGCAATTGTAAGAAATTTAGCTGACTCTCTGCCAACCTCCCAATGATTACAAAACCTTTTAATGACACAAAGCACTAGAAACACAATCCCCCAAGTGATCAGATAGTCCTGTACCTCTAAACAGATACAATTCAAAACAATGGAGTATGTAATCCATCTCTTCCTCCATTCTTCCTTTTTTCCTCGTCAAACATTTATCCTATCACTAGGTCCAAAGGTACATAACACAGGCACTAGGTACACTTTCCCTGCTCTGGGCAGCCTCAGAATACAGAATAACAGAATTGGAAGGGACCATGGAGGTTTTCTAGTCCATTCCCCTGCTCAAGCAGGAGACCCTATCCCATCTCAGAGAAGTGGCTATCCCTCAGGCCCCTAATCATTTTTGTTGCTCTTCTCTGCACTCTTTCCAGAGTCTCAACATCTTTTTTATAATGTGGTGGCCAAAACTGGATGCAGAATTCCACGTGTGGTCTTATATGTTTAGTCTAATTTTTCCCTTTCTCCCATATTGAGAAAGTTGTCTTCTATTTATGCTAAAAGCAAATGCAAATCCCATCTAAGCAGGAACCCCGCTCAAGACAGGAAGTTGGAGACACTGGGGATGGAGCTAGCATGCATGGTCACATCCTGTATCCTATTAGGCAAAATGCCAGCCTGGGAGTACTCAGATATGGGCATTCACACAGAATTCTTTTACTTGAGAGTAACATAGGTTGGCTTATGTTCCCAGATCATTCCAAAGAGATGTCCTTAACGCCCTTGACACAAATAACAAGCCTGTTTGGTTTGTTTCTGATGGTTCCTAGAACTCAACCTACAGTAGCTTCAAACAGATGAAAGTGTTCACCTTCAGTTCATTCAAACTCAGAAAAGCCATTCATTCATTGTTCCATCCACTCCTAAATTAGACACCACCATACAGATATATCTATATCAAATGCATTGGATGATAATGCACACATCTCCCACCGACTGGTTGAGAATGGCAGTAATCACCGCTCTAGAAAGCTCCACACTTGGGACAGCTATTCTTGAGAATGAAGGTTCTCCCAGTGGCGGAGATCACTTCCTCCTTATGATCCGACAAGTTTTACAAAGCACCTCTTTACCTTTCTTGGACAGCAGACTCACGATATATACCAGTAAGGGTCATCCCACGATTCAGGCTTGGTTCCAGACACCAGGGTCAACTCTTGCCATTGTATAGTAGTCAGCCTGTGTCACTATAAAAAAGAAACACAAAACTAAACCAGTAATTCTAGCAGACCAAAGGTGAACAGGCTCCGTGTTTCCAGCTTTATTCTGTGTAAGAATCCAGTGTAACTTGTCTTGCCACACCTCACCATCCCTTACAAAGTAAACATTTGTGGGTAGTGGTGGAAATCTCTTGTTCCTTGGGACACCCACTGCTGGAATACTCCAATTACATTGTGTATTTAGTATTATTATTCTGCAGCGGGGTTTGCTTTCAGTACTGGCCCTTTTTTGTTTCTAAGCCTCTAAACCTATCTAAAAAGACAATGGCCGGGAATAAGCTAAAGACATTATGGGTTTCCTCCTGTGTTTGAGGAAGCAGAGGAAGGTGAAGCCAGATGGCTGCCCAGCTGAGCTTTACTCCTACCTCCAGGTTGTCTGAGAGTGCAGTTCCTTGCCTCCTCCTCCCTTTGCTCCCTTTCCCCATGTAAACAATTCCATCTGACATTGCCAGTTGCTTTTAATAATTCATCTCCCTTTGGTTACCAAGGAAAATGACTCTGGACCATCAGCAAATAATTAGAGGGGCGCTTAGCAACCAGCAGCTCAGTCCTCCACTACCTTTCCAAGAGCTAATGACAGAACCATTTTTAGGGCCAGGCAGCACTTGGTCTCTTTCCATGTTTTCTCTTTACAAAAAAGCATACATCTGTAAGCAGTAAAGTGGAACATGCACACAAGAGTTTTCAGCCATGTGCAGAGTTATCTGACTGATCTCATTTCTATTTCGAATAGATCGAAGCAGCCAATGTGGTGCCTCCCTGTTTACCTTACTACAAATCTGTGAGATTTGTTTAAGATCACAGAGTGTTTATAGTGATCGGGGCATTAAAATTTTCCCATTTTAGTTGAATTAGGAGTTTCTCAATTGCCAGGTTGTGTGAGCCCACAATACGTTCCACATTGTCCACTTTAGTCTACCTGATTTCTGGCTTCATATGACATATTAAATCATGAATGAAAAATATGTCCTGCTATTAAAAAAAAAACACGCTGAGCTAAACTATGGTTGGCTGGTTTATGGTGTAGTGCAGTGTTTCTCAACCTTGGCGACTTTAAGTCCTGTGGACTTCAACTCCCAGAATTCCCCAGCCAGCTATTCTGGGAGTTGAAGTCCACAGGACTTAAAGTCGCCAAGGTTGAGAAACACTGCTGTTGTGTATCATGTGAAGGCAGTAACAGGCAAGTGTACATATGTACAAAGTTACTATTAATTCATATGGACGGTGAGATGGGTGAACAAGCATGTAAAAGTACCTGAATTGAAACTTATTTCAGAATTCCACTGATTGCTTATACAGAAATATCTGATACGGGAAATAACTATGTGGAGGTGTGTGCAG